AAGTAAATGAGTCTACTACCCTCACCATACATAATTACTACAGTATTATTGACTATATTTCCTATACTGTATTTTACATTACCATGACTATTCTGAAACTACCAATTTGCACTTCTTAATCTCTTCACCTTTTTTATCCAGCCCCCAAATCCCTTTCTATCTGGCAACCATTAAAATGTTCCCTATATCTATGAGTTTGTTTCTATTTGTTCATTTATTTTGGTTTTTAGATTCCACATGTAAGTGAAGTCATAGGCATTTGTCTTCCTCAGTCTGACTTATTTCACTTCACACAGTACCCTCTACATCCATCCATGTTGATGCAGATGGGAAGACTTTAGTCTTTTTTACGGCAGAATAATATTCCATTGTACATATGCACCACTTCTTTTTTATCCACCATTCTGTTGATGGGCACTTGGGCTGCTTCCATATTTTGGCTATTATAAATAATGCTGCAATGAACATAGGGGTGCATATATCTTTTTTAAAAAATGGTGTTTTGGATTTCTTCAGATAAATACCCAGAAGAGAAATTGTTAGGTCATATGGTAGTTCTATTTTTAATTCTTTGAGGAGTCTCCTTGCTGTTTTCCATAGTGGCTGCACCAACTTGCAATCCCACCAACGGAACACAAGAGCTTCCTTTTTTCCACATCCTCGACAACACCTGTTGTTTGTTGGTTTATTGATGATAGCCCTCTGACAGATGTGCGGTGACATATCATTGTGGTTTTACTTTGCAGCTCTCTGATTAGTGATATTGAGCATCTTTTTATATGACTACTGGCCATCTGTATGTCCTCTTTGGAGAAATGTCTGTTCAGGTCCTCTTCCCATTTTAGGATTAGTGGTTGAATAGTCTTCTAAAATAGTATCCCTCACTTATCAATCCATATTATCTTAATGTTTCTCTGCTCACTCTACATGAGTAGTGTCATCAATTGCAACACTCTAAGGCACCATTTCATAAGCGGGAGCAGTAAGTTATGGGTAACCAAATAAATTCAGTATCTACATTGTTCCTTCCATAAAGTTCAACATGTTGACTGATTATGAAAATAATCTTCTTGCTTTCTTTCAATCTTTAAATACAATACTTACTAGTTTAATCAAGGAGTCAGAAGAGACAGTTGGAATAAAAAATAACAAAATAGTTTTAAATACTAACATTTCCCATTTTCTGCTAAGTCTTGTCTTATCTGAAGCTTGTAAAGTTGTTTAATCTTTTCCATCCTTGCAGGGTAAAGAGAGCCTGGAAAATCCTAGTCACTCAATAGTAACTGTCAATAGTATTTTCCATAACTATCTGAATGCAAAATAAAAATCTTAAGAAGTTGATCCAATTCTAAAATTTACTTCTCATCTTACTAATAAATATGAAGAGACAACCCATCCACATTTTCTTCAAATAACATCTGGTTTCTTGGCCAGACTGCTAATACATGAAAAAGTTCCTGAGTTTGTTCCAACCAATCTACATTTAAAAAGCTTTAAAATGTATTTATGCACTAAACACTCTTTTCTACAACCTACACAGGGCCAGAGATAGGGCTGGGAGATAGAACCCTGCCAAGAAATTAGAAAGAGGGGGAATAAATTATCTTCTAAAAGTTAAACTGTGAAACCAACACTTGATGGATCAGGGCAGGAAATAAGAAATCACCACATGGAACAAAAAGCTTCCAGGCCAGCAAGATTTGGCTGTAACCCCACTGAAGATATAGCACACACACATAAAGACCATATCCGTCAATCATGGAGTTACAGAGGAAGAAAGGTTGCTAGACAGACCTGAGTAAGACCTGCCAAGACCCTGTGCAGAGTGGGGGGAACCTGGACTAGCAATGAACCAGTGACAAAGCATCTCTATAGTGAAATTGAATGCACCATTTTGTCTTAGCCTGATTACTCCGAGCTGGAAAGCTCTATCTTGAACTTACAGCCTAGCCTAGAGCAGGCAATCATTAGATTAAATGAATTTGTTCCAATTCTTTGCTCACAATCTCCTGATTATAATTTGGCTCCCGCACAGTTCTGCTTACAGGAAAAGAATTCTCAAGTCTTGTGGGTTTGAGAATCCTGGCCTCGATGCCGGCTACAGCACTCGTTGAAATATACAGTTCAGCATTGGGGCTTGCTTAATCAACTCAGCTCCGAAAGGAAGGGCCCTGGAGTGTCCTGAGGGATCAGGTTTCTGAGCCCACTGGGTTGGCAGTGAGTCTCTGGGCCATGGTTAGTTCACCAGGGTGGTGATGAGAATGGTGGTGACAGGGACAGCACGGCCATGTGCTGAGCAACCTCTGTGTCAGACACTGCATTATGTGCTTTACACACTTGAACTCTTAATCCCACAATAATCCAACAAATTTGGCATTATTAGTACTTACATTTTGTAAATGAAGAGCCTAAGACTAAGAAAGCTTTAGTAACTTACCCAGAAATCCACATTAGGAATCTCGATTCAAACCCAGAGTTGTCTGACTCTAAAGCTTAATCTCTTAAAATTTTAAAATATGATTTCAGAGCAAATCTTACCCTTCTCTGAGCCACACTCTTCTCTGCTTCTACAATTCATCTTTAACATGACTATTTATTACTCTGTACCAGCCTTCACATCAATGCACATGAAGAGTAGCAATCTTAACCAGAGCACAGAAGGTCAAACCCTATCTCAGTGAACAGCATCACCATTCCATGCCATCATATGGTTACCTTCAGAAGCCAAATGATGCTTCCTCCTCCATCACCACCGTAGCCACACACTGCCTAATTATTTGCATGTCCTCCAATAAACCTCATTAATACTTCCCTACTGTGTCCACTTCTCACTGTCACTATTGCCAATACTTGTCTTTCACCTGGACCTCTACAAAACTCTCCTAAGGCATGTTTTTGTTTTTACTCTTGCTCTCCTTCATTCTCATCCTTTGCATCTAATGATCTCAATATTATCCAAACATACCATTCCACTGTTTAAAAATCATTCAGTGGACCCCCAACCTCTCATCATATTCTGTGCTTCAGTCCTAATAGTGATTGGCCTGCAGTCCTTGGAATATGCTCAGTCATGTCTGCTCTAGCATGGCACACAAGCTGGACCTGGAATACACTCACTGGCATCCCCCTGAACCATTGTTCCCTCCATACCTGCTCTGGTCAGCTTATACTGGGGCTTTGGAACTCACTCCTATTTCACCTTCTCCAGGTCACGTGGGCTAGGTGCCCATCTGAGGCACTCTCATCATGCAAATCATCCCTCCTCTCCCTGTATGGAAATTTTTTATTTGTGTGACGCGACCCCCAAGACTATGACCTCCCTGAAGCCTGTTTACACACAGTGCCCCCTCCACACACACACACACACAAACACAAATGCATGTATATTAAGTGAATAAATGAAAAACAAATGTGTATCGCAGGTGTAAAAATCCAACCCTGCTTCCTCAAGTTCAGTTGTGTGACCTTAAGAAAGGTATTTTGTCTCCCTAGACCTCAGCTTCTCCATCTGTAAAATAAGTATCATAAATCCTACATTGTCAAGGTCTTGAGAGATTCAAACCAAACCATACAATATACGGAAAGTCCACAGCACCAAGCTTGGTATATAGGACTTTCCATATGCTGGTTGTTGCTATTATTATTATTATTACTATGTCCTCGGAGACCTAACCGAAAACATTCATGTTCTGGAAAGACCTCACAGCTCTATTCCCAGGCCCTTCAATGACTTGGCCGCTCCAGACCTTCTAGCACTTACGTTTTACATCGTATAATGCATTATCTTGCACTCTTGAATGCACTGCTTTGAAAGGATCCCATACTTTCTCCACAATGCCTACTACTCAACAAAAGCTTTTAGGAGAAATGGCATCAAGATTTGCTGCAGATTGTATTCTCCGCTGGAGACTTAGCCCATGGACAGTCACATGGCACCTCGATGCCAATGCTGTACAGAAAAGCTAGCATAACCCTGAGAGGAACACACGGGAAAAAGGAAAGGCTGTGGAATTGACAGGTGGTGATCCCAAAATAGAAACCACTCGTTAAAGGGGTCATAAATAAGACGAGGTCTCAGGAAGGGGATGTCCTTTATCACCACAGATATGGCAAGGTGAATTATAGACCAGGGGTTTAAAAGAAATGCCACAGCCCTTCCATGGAATTGTGCAGCCATTAAAAATAGATAGGGGGCCAACTAATAACGTGGCAAATAAAAACACATAAGACCTCATGTTATATAAAAAACATATAGGTAATACATGTTTTTGATCACAGGATATAAAATTTGCTTTAAAAAAAATGTAAGCGAATAAACCAAAATGTTAATATTTGTAACAGGGTGATGAATCCCCCGGTATTGTTTTTCTTCCGTCAATTCCCCACACTGTTTGTAGGGTCATATCCTTTAAAATGCAAAGACTCTCGCTGGCCAGGCGGCTCAGTTAGCTGGAGCATCGTCCTGTACATCGTCCTGTAGTTGGATTCTGGGTCAGGGCACAGGCCCCGGGTTGCAGGTGCAAACCTGAGTCACGGAGCATAGGGGAAGCGATTGATCTATGGATGTTTCTCTCTCTCCCTTCTTCTCTCTCAAAAATAATAATAACAATAAATAAGTAATCAATAAAAACATATTCTCAGGTGGGGATTATATGTCAAGACTTATTCTTTAAAAATATACGTTCTGGGTGTCTCCCTCGCAGATCTCTCTGGGAAGAAATTAAGCAGAAGGCATGAGCCTGGGGCCTGCCAGGTGGTATGATCTGGCTCCTGCCAGGCTCCCTTTTCACTGGGCACCGCCCCCCTGGGTCTCATGTAATGCCCTCCAGCAGGCAGCCCTAGGCGGACCCAGTCCTCCACCCAACCCCCATGGGAGCTGTCCTCCTTGCAAAGTTTCTGTTTGGGAGGACGGAGGCGCTGTGAGCAGCTGGAAATCCAGCTTCAGTGAGCAGCCCCGAAGCTTAATCCCATCGGGCCGCCCACCCCGCCCGCCTGCTTACCTCTTGCAGGGGATGAGCGCCTTCCTCTCGTCCAGCACCCGCACGCGCTGCTGGAGGCCGTCGTAGGAGAGCAGGGCGCGGCTGTTGCGCCCGCTGCTCTGCCGGTACAGCACCTGGCGCCCTTCCCACTGCTGCGGCGCCCGGCAAGGCCGCGGCGTCCCCGGAGACCCCCAGGGATCCGCCCGCAGCGCCCCCGCCCCGGGCCCGCCCAGGCCGCCCAGGACCCAGACCCACAGGCCGCCCAGCAGCCAGGCGCCCAGGGCGCCCCCGGCCCCGCGGAGGGCAGCGCGCCCTGGCATCTCGGCCCACCAGGCTCGGCACCCCGCGAGCGGCAGCAACTGGTCCTCTGCGCTGTGCCCAAGTATCTGTCCTCCTGTCCAAGTTGCTGTTTGTCCCTGGCACGGCCGCTGGGGCTGTGGAGATGGAGATGCTGGAGGGCGGGAGTCGGACCCGGGGCGGGAAGGCTCCGGTGAATCGCGCGCAGGAGCTGTTTCTGCCCAGGCCTGCCGCTGCCCTTGGATTTCACTTGCTCTCTGCTGCCAACAGGAAATGCAGTGGCAGCGGTGCCACTAGCACCCTGAAGGGCGTCCAAGTTTTAAAAGTGGAGGGGTGGAGGGCACGGTGTAAACGAATATGTTTCCGCATTAATGCAACTGTTCAGCAAGGTACCGCCACACTGGGGGACAAAGTCAAGGTCAGGAACGCGCTTCTGCTGCCCTTGTTCTGCCCACAGGCCTCGCTCCTTTCGCTAAAACTGCCATCTCTTTCCTCCAAATGAGAAGTGGAAAGAAGAGTCCCTTGCTGAGGCCTTAGGGAGCTCAGTCAGGTCCCTGTGGAGAACAGGCAGGGCAAGGCAGAAGGTGGGAAAGGAGGAGGAAGATGCCGAAATAACCCAGACAAGGGAAGCTGTCAAAGGTGATGTGGTGATAGTGTGAGTGCACAGGGTGGGACAGAGTTGGGAACCCCGGAGACGTATTTAGACTCAGAGAGGGTTCTGGTTTGGGCCACTGGGGATTCGAATAGTGCTGAGCTAGCAAAGGTAAGTTCAGTCAGAATCGGCTGCTTTTGAGGTGACTGTGGGATAGACAGGTGCAAACAGCCCAGCAACAGTTGAATAAGCACTTCCAGAGACCAGCCAGGGGAGAGGTCCGGATGGTGAACCCTTGACTTCTAGGTAGTCACTGACGCCAAAGAATACATCAGTGATTCTCCACCCAGAGAGGCCTTGCCCCTCCCCCAGGGGGCAGTTGGCAGCATCTGGAGAGGTTTAGATGGTCAGTCACAGTGGGGTGGGGATCTATAGCAGTGGTTCTCAGCCTGTGGATCGAGACCCACAGGTTGAGAACCGCTAGCAGGGTCGCTTAGACCATCGAAAAGCACAGATATTTTACATTACGATTCATAACAGTAGCAAAATTGCAGTGATGAAGTAGCAACGAAAATAATGTTATGGTCAGGGGTCACCACAACATGAGGAGCTGTATTAAAGGGTCGAGGCAGTAGAAAGCTTGAGAACCACTGCTCTAAATGGAACCAAACTCCTGAGGTAAATCCTGAAATGCATTTGTCTCGTTTATCCTTTTTAAACTTATGTGTTTAATTCATGTACCCACCCCCCAATAAGATAATGCATTTAAAGCACTTGGCACCCCGCCTAGCTCATTGCAAATGCTCAATAAATGTCTGTTGTGCTCTTTGGGTATTTTAAGTCCTCGGTCCTGACCAGTCAAAACTAAACTGATTTGGTGGTTCTAAGTTTTGGAGAGAAAAATCTGTCTGCCTTAAGTTCAGATTTCCAGTGAAATTATGTATTTTAACATTAACATTCAGAGAACATGTTTGCATTTCTAATGTTGAAAACACACACACACACACACACACACACACACACACACACATACCAGCAAACTTACTGCCTGAAGATCTATGTACCCTTGCAGCAAAATGCCAACCTTTTCTGTGGATAGCTGAGCCAGCAGTTTATTTTACTACCTTTTCTTAAAAATAAGATAAAAGAGAAAACAAAACATACATATTTGCTTTCCATAGTACATAGCTTCTTACTCAACTTAAACAGTTTCCAAACACATCAAATATCAAGATTTTAGGTTGCTGGACTAGAATCACTTGGCATGCAGTGGGGGAGGGAGAGGGGAGGAGGGCAGGGTGGGAGGGATCTATCAGACTGCGGCGTCCATAATTTTCTTTGTTTTTTCCTGGGTTTCTTTCACGTTGGAGAGAGGAATGGGGAGTTAGAAGAAGAAAGGGAGATGTTGGTAGATGGAAGACGTTTCTCAAACTAGAAGATGATATGGAACCTTTAGGCAGTTTTGTGACTAGAGCTGGCAGAGACCAAATGCCATTCTGGAAAAACCCGAGCCCAAACTAGTGTCAATGAGCCACCACCACAACAACAAAACAAACTACATACACTGTGGGGCGGAGGGGGGGCAGTTTGTTTACATCCTTTGCCAACAATTACTACTATGCTCTCCCATCCCACACACTGTCAGTCTCGCTACTCAGAGCTTCTCTTACCCCCTACTGGAGGAAGCAAGTATTTTCCAGAATTAAAGGCCCCAGATGTCCCTATTTCCCTCCAGCTGCGTACGTGGTGAACCTATAAGGCATAAGGCGCAAAGTTCAGCTTTGACTCCAAAGAGCAGCTGTTTTTTTTTTTCTCTTGAAATCCTCTCCTGCATCCTTTTGGATCCGGTGTCCAAAACGACAGCCAGAGGCTCTTTTTCTCGGTCCGGAGAGAAAGGACTGGCCAGACCCAAAAGGAGGGGCTTTGGAGGGGATGTCAGATTCCAACCCAGGGCTGCGGCCTGGAGGAGATGATGTCACCGCTTCTGCACCGAGAGGGCTGGGGGTGGGGCGGCGGAGGGCGAGCCCCGCCGCGCCTGCTGCTGCCAAGGGAGCATTCCCAGCCCACGTCAGGGGGGGTGTCGGGATAAATAGGGTCCCGCCATGGCCATGGCTGGCTGCGCCGGGAGCTGCGGCGACCGGGACTGGAGCTGGCAGAGCGGGTTCGCGCCCCGGAGACTGAGGTCCAGCTGCGCTCGGGCTCTGCGCTCCAGAGGGCGGACATCCCCGGCCAGCCCCAGCGCCCCGCATTGCTATACCGAAGGGAGTTGGTGGTTTTTCCTGCGCCCTCAAGGACTTTCTCCTCCTCGGAGAGGGGAGGGAGGCAGCTAGGGTGGGAGTGGTGGGAAGCCGCGGTGCCATGCTCCTCTCCATCCTGGCCGCGCTGTGCCTGGGGCTGCGCCTGGCGCTGGGCGTGCGCGGCGCCCCGTGCGAGGCGGTGCGCATCCCCATGTGCCGGCACATGCCCTGGAACCTCACGCGGATGCCCAACCACCTGCACCACAGCACGCAGGAGAACGCCGTGCTGGCCATCGAGCAGTACGAGGAGCTGGTGGACGCCAACTGCAGCGCCGTGCTGCGCTTCTTCCTCTGCGCCATGTACGCGCCCATCTGCGCCCTGGAGTTCCTGCACGACCCCATCCGGCCCTGCAAGTCCGTGTGCCGGCGCGCCCGCGACGACTGCGAGCCGCTCATGCAGCGGTACAACCACAGCTGGCCCGAGAGCCTGGCCTGCGACGACCTGCCCGTCTACGACCGCGGCGTGTGCATCTCGCCCGAGGCCATCGTCACCGACCTCCCGGAGGGTGAGGCCGGGGAGGACGGATGGAGGGGGATGAGGAGACACACCCTTGGCTGTCGCGGCCCGGCCCTGGAGGACCATCTGCCGCACCTACCGCTCCCCCATCCCACGTCCCAGGGCTGGTGACTTAACTTCTAGAAGTGTCTGATTTTTCCGTGGGCATTTCAGAGCAGAACATCCTGTCCCATTCGGGGAGGTGGAGGGGGAGACAAATTTTGCTTGCAAAGGGAGCCGCCCCTGGGGACGGTTTCATTTACAGTAGCAACAAAATAGTCACAGGGGCAGAAGTAAAAAGGAAGGTAGGTCTGAAGGTGGGTCTGAGCCAGAGTTAAGCATCTTACACGTATCCTTGAACCTTTTTTTAAAAATATTTTTTGTTTTGTTTTGTTTTTGTTAATCCTCACTAGAGGATAGTTTTCCGTTGGTTTTTTGTTTGTTTTGTTTTTTGTTTTTTGAGAGAGAGTGGGAGAGAAAGGGAGAGACACAGAGAGAAACATGTATGTGAGAGAGAGAGACATCAATTGCTTGCCTCCCGGGCCCGGACCGGGGCCAAGGATCAAACCTGCAACCGAGGTATGTGCCCTTGACCAGAATCTTAACCAAACCGGGACCCTTCAGTCCGTGGGCCAAGGCTCTATCCACTGAGCCAAAGCAGTTAGCGCTCCTCTCATCTTTAAAGCAATCCCACCAGGACTCTCCACTCTTGAAAGCTCTTTCTGAAGAAGCATTTCTTTCTAAGCGCCACTCCCTGAAAACGCCTTTCCAGGGATCACTCCCACCAGCAGTGCACTTGTCACTTCAGTCACTCTGGAAAGTCGTGGTATCTGTCTAATGATCTTTCATCACCAGCTGACATATGTGTGGCATCTTAGTTCACTGGGTCTCATTTTCCACGCCCCGTCTTCTGTCTTGGTCTTTTTGCTGTTTTCCTAGGAAGAAGACGCAGGTTTCAATCCACTTGTTGAAGTAAAACCTAAGGATATTTTTGCATTCTTCTTACCCCTGACCTAGCTTGCCACACCTTCAAAGAGTTGTTTTCGTGTCTCAGGTTATGCATACCCCTCAGAGCACTCACCAAAATAGGAAGGAAGGGAAGTAAAGTGAAGGGAAGAAATCAAAACACCTCTCTAATTCTGCTTAAGGAAAAACTACTTTTTTTGCTTACATTATATAAGTGACAGAGGGTTATGCTTGTTTTTGGATGATGTAGCGATGGACTATTTCAGCACTGCAAAATGTAAGGTGGGGATTTGGAAATACTCAGGCTATTTTGTTTAGTATAAGCTGATCAACACTTTAAAATGGATTTGAAAAGGAATGGCATGATTTGTCCGGGTTGGCTGTATGTATCAGAAAGCTAAATGGATGTGTGTCCACATCAATTTGTGCTGGATAAGGCAGTCTTTCCTAAACCCAGGGATGCCTATGTGAAAGAAATAGTCCCCAATTGCATGCCATTTTTACTAGTTAGTGTTTGTGTGTATGTGGGATGCTGCATTAGTTTCTGTCTCTAGATAGTTCCTTGTTCCAGCTGGGCAGACAGACCAAAACCACTGACCACACCCATGTGACCCTGTGTGTGTTTCAGACGCGAAGTGGGTAGATATCACACCAGACATGATGGTACAGGAAAGGCCTCTTGATGTCGACTGTAAACGCCTAAGCCCTGGTGAGTTCTCTGTCCTCAAGACTCGGCTTTTTTTCTCTCCCCAGAATGGCTTCTCTGAATCCTCTTCCAACATGTTTGTGTCTCTCTTGCCTTCTTTAGACCGGTGCAAGTGCAAAAAAGTGAAGCCAACCCTGGCAACATATCTAAGCAAAAACTACAGTTATGGTAAGTCATCTAATGAGAACATTCGCTTTACGATTTGGCACCTTCTAAAGCCAGGTCTGCTGGCCATAAAGCAACGAAGATGTTTGGTGATTTTTCTAGTTAACTGTATGAGTCTCAAATGGCATCATAACAACCATAAAACTTCTTGCTTTTCTGGGGAAATCAAATAAATACAAAGTCAGTGACTCAGAGGAAAACAGGGATGTGGCTCCGTTTGCAAGATTGACATTATGATCCTATTTGACTTGGTGAGCAGTCCTCCCCAGCTAGGACGGCACACTTCACTTGTTCTTTTTGTAAGATTTCATTGCTGCAGGGAGGGTGGGTGAGTGATCCATGGATTTGATTATCTGAAGCCTGTAGGCCCAATAATTAAAATCTACTCATGTATCTTATAAGTAGCTATGAATATTGAACATCTTAAAGAAGTTGTAGGAATAGGTTAATCCCAAGACTCTGTTGCTGTAAATATTGACATAGCTCAAATGCCCTCTTCTCTCTTATTTGAAAAAACACACACAACATTTTCTTCAAGGAATAAGTCAATAATTCTATTTTGAATGTTTTAAATCAACTTAATTCTACTATCATCACTTGAAAGTAAATTTAATTTAATTTTTTTTAAATATCTATTTGGGCTATTTAATGTTTCTTTGGGTTTCTTGAATTGCTGAAATAACAAAAACTGTTTTAGGAGAAATTATTCATTTTATTTGCTAAGTTTGTTTTTCAACTGATATTGTATATCATAAGAATATATTATATACACACATAAAAGAAAAAAGATAATTGCAACATGAAAGTGTGAAAAAAGAACCCTTTTTTAAGTTGTCAGATTTGAGAATCGTATATATCTAATGTGGGTAATTCAACCAAAAATATACACTTCCTTTTTTAGTAGGTTTTGTTTAAAACCTGTTCTATGTAGATATAGTCTTAATATGATCTACTTAGTCTGTCAGCTGAGTTTTACTCTCATGCTATTCTCTGGGTGTCTTGGCCTGGTTGCTACTTTGATTATGAAACCATTTCTATTTTAATCCTTTGGCTTCTTCATAAACCAGCTTTCTCACATGGACTCCAAAGCAGGTCCACAGTAGCAAATGTGATCAGACACAGTAACCTAAACAACCATCTGTAATAACAGTTCTAACTCTACTCACCTCAGACCTAGCTTTGATAGCATAGGAAGTTAAAGGATTAAGAACAGTGATCTTCAGAGAATCCTGCCAGTCCAAAATCTTAGACAGAGGAAGTTCAAGCCTCAGATGGGATATTAAACCATGCAAACTTTAAAGTGGCTTCTGATTCAAAGAATATATGAGTCTCACTTCAGAGCATCACAAGGCAGAGTATAAGCAAATATTTGCTTAGATGAAATTTTTTATTGACTAAATTTTCTGATATGTTTTTGACAAAAAGTACCCCACACACCTAATTTTATAACTATAGAAATGTAAGGCTGAGAAAGATCTATAGAATTCTCTGATGAAACCCTATTTATAGCCCAAAGAGCAATCACTGACCCAAAGGCAGAACCCAGGTTAAGCCTGCTTGTCAATTTACTTTTACATTTTGAGCATGATTCAGAACTTTTCGGACAATGTTGACAATATGGGAGGCCTTATATTTAGCATGTGATTGTGGGCTTTTTGTCTGCATTTGGGCAACTTGGACATGACCATAATTACAGGAGTGATTCTTTAAGAGAAGCTCAGGAGTTGGCATGAATACAGCATTTCTATTTTTCTCCAAAGGCTTCAGCAACACTTATATCAATTTTTAAATTGCAGTCATCCATGCCAAGATAAAAGCTGTCCAGAGAAGTGGCTGTAATGAAGTAACAACGGTGGTGGATGTGAAAGAGATCTTCAAGTCCTCATCACCCATCCCTCGAACTCAAGTCCCACTCATTACGAATTCTTCCTGCCAGTGTCCTCACATCCTGCCCCATCAAGATGTTCTCATCATGTGTTATGAGTGGCGCTCACGGTAGGCACAGAGGGGCAGAAGAAACTGCATATGGCTTAAGTAAACATGAGTCGCATTTAGTAGGTTAAAAAAAAGGCACCAGTCTTCTAAAAAAGCAATATTAATAGAATCTTCTTTGGGATATTATGTAACTACTAGAGGCCTAATGCATGAAATTCGTGCAAGAGTAGGCCTTCCTTCTCCTAGCCTCTGGCACCCGGGCTTCCCTCACAGCCCTGGTTGCATCCGGAAGGTCATCAAGAAAGATGTCCGCAATGACATCCGGTCTAAATAGTATATTATGCTTTTATTATAATAAAGTAATTCTTCATAGAATTAAGGAAAAATAAAAATATAACTATTTGAATAGGATCTTTAAAATCAATATCATAATTCATTAAATAATTTCAAAAATGTAAAGGCAGATAACTTACTTTGGATCAAACCAATTCATTTCAGCCTGGTTGATGTGGTATGAACCAGGAGGTCAGGGTTTGATTCCTGGTCAGAGCACATGCCCAGGTTGTAGGCTTGATCCCCACTAGGGGCATGCAAGAGGCATCCTATTAATGATTCTCTTTTATCGTTGACGTTTCTATCTTTCTCTCCCTCTCCCTTTCTCTCTGAAATTAAAAAAAAAATACATTTAAAAAAATAAAATGCTTTAAAAAAAAACAATTCATTTCAAGTCACTCAAATCAATCTTACTATGGCAAATACTGAGTGTTTTAAAGTCTCTTTAATAACTTACAGATCAAATAACGATGGCCATTTGAGACTACAGTTCCACACTTTTCCCTTATATACACTTAGTTTACAATTTGTGGTGCAGTATTACACACACAGATACACACACACACACACACACACACACACACACACACACATATCTCCAGCTGGAAGTGTGTCTCCCCTGATCTCTTTCCTTAGCGACTTTTTGTGTATTAGTATATTCCTTATAACATAAAAGTCAAACACTTCAGCACAGATTTTAGGATGAGCCCCAAACTTGCTGCAATATACTTCTCCAGCAAAATTATTCATTTTTATATAACAAGTCTTCCCCTTGAGTCTCTGTCATTAATGCTTATCTGTTCATTTTTTCTAGACAAAGCTCGACTCTACTTCTTAAAAAAAAAAAAAAAAAGGGAAAAAAAAACTCTTGAATTTGACCTCACTTGAAAACTTTCTCGTTCTGTACTCTATCAGTACTTGGGTACCCTCCTCACAAAGCTGTTCTCCTTATAGCTTGCCTCTCTAAAGAAGCTGAATGAGTGAATGCTGAATGAATGTTTCTAAGCTTACCTCTTGTGTGGTGTTTGTATTTGCTACAGTATTAGGTGCAGCTCTGGGGATGTACCATGTTACTAGTCATTAAATTCTATTTAGATATACGAATGGGTTATTAGTTGATGATAATAGTTTTCATGTCAGCTTTCTCAAGTTACTTTGTAAATTGAATGCAATTCTGATCAAAATCCCAGTAAAAATTTTGTGACAATTGGAATTTATGTATTCACAAATAATGCTAATGATCATTTGGAAGAGTGAACTACTAAGCGCATGTTATTTTGAAAATAAGAGGGAGGAGAGGAAATCTGATTAATGAGACATTTAAATTGGTAGAATGCTACATGTCAAAATCATGTGGTATAAGAGTAGACATAAAGATAAATAGATACATTGCCGAAACCGGTTTGGCTCAGTGGTAGTGTCGGTCTGCGGACTGGAAGGTTCGATTTCAGTCAAGGGCATGTACATTGGTTGCAGGCACATCCCTGATAGGGGGTGTGCAAGAGGCAGCTGGTCAATGTTTCTCCTCATTGGCGTTTCTAGCTCTCTATCCCTCTCTCCTCCTCTCTGTAAAAAATCAATAAAATATATTTTTTTAAAAAGATAAATAGATCAATAAAGCAGAGGAAACAGATTCTAATGCATAAAAGAACCCATTATATAAGAAATAGGGCAAGTCAATAAGAAATAAAAATATTTAGTGAAAGTTGCAAAGATTTTTATTTGGAAAATAGTACATATTTTTAATTCATAATCTATGCTAAAGTATATTTCAAATGGATTAAAGAGAAACATTTTTACATTACCTTTACAGTTGAATATTACAGATGTCCCCTTCGTCCTCCTCTTGACTCCCTCCACCCTTCTTCCACTCCCGCACCAGGCCTTCACAGCACTACTTTCTGTGGCTATGAGTTATGCATATATGCATATAGGTCCTTTGGTTAATCTCTTTCCTCCCCCCCACCCCTTCCTTCTGAGATCATCAGTCCATTCCATGCTTCCATGTTTCTAGCACTATTTTGTTTGTCATTTTATTTTATTCATTAGATTCCACATATAAGTGAGATCATGTGATATTTGTCTTTCTCTAACTGGCTTATTTTACTTAGCATAACACTCTCCAGGTCCCTCCAGGCTGTCCCAAAGGGTAAGAGATCCTTCTCTTTTAGAACTGCATAGTATTCCATTGTGTAAATGTACTCACCTTTTTTTATCCACTCATCTACTGTTGGACACTTGGGTTATTTCCATATCTTAGCTTTTGTAAATAGCGCTGCATACATTATTTCTGATTAGTGTTTCAGGATTCTTAGGATATATTCCTAGAAGTGGGATCATTGCATCAAATGACAGTTTCATTTTTATCTTTTTGTGGAAACTTCATACTGTTTTTCCAAAATGGCCTCACCACTCTGCATTCCCACCAACAGTGCATTTTAAAAACTTAAAAAGGATAAAATTAAATAAATAAATGTATGCTATTTGAATGGCAAAATACTTTGTAAACATAAAAGTAATGTAGAAAAATTACAAGGAATCATGTCAGTACACATTTTTGACCACATACTAACATGTACATAAAAATCACAAATAAAAAGGCAAATAAAAATTGAGAAAAATACAACAGGTATGACAATGGAATAGTAACCTTACTCTCTAAAGAGTTCATAAAATATTTCAACAGTAATATAGACATATATGTACCTGCAACATAGACATATATGTACCTAAATCTATAGAGACAAGATCCAGAAGAAATACAGAGTAAAAACATATTTTAAAAATGATTTCCTTAATTCTCCAATCCAAATAAAACAAGATTCAGTATTTACATAATCTTAATGTTAGTAAATTGAATGAAAGTTTAATCATTTTGACAACAATTTGGCACTATGCATTGTAAAAAAACCCATATATATATATATATATATATATAGAGAGAGAGAGAGAGAGAGAGAGAGAGAGAGAGAGAGAGAGAAATAGAATATATTATAGATACTTAGAGTTGTGATATTATTTGGTTATTAAAATTATATTTTTGAATTCTAATTATACCACAAAATGCATACAGCGTGGGGCAAAGTAATTTACAGTTGTTCGTATGGAAAATAGTACAACAATTAATAAATAATTATACAATAATAATCTGTTTTGCATACTCACAACTGTAAACCTATTTTGCCCCACCCTATCCTATATAATAAAAGCCTAATATGCTAAGAGTCTGGTCATCTAGTCAGCCATTCAACCAACCAAAGAATAAAATGCTAATGATATGCTAAGGTAGCTCAACCAATAACTATGATTTGCACTGACCACCAGTAGGTTAGCTTGCTTCTGAGATCTAGCCAATCAGGACTGAGCAAGATGGGCCAGACACACTCTCAAGCCCTCCTGCAGCCCCTCCCTGGCTGGCCAGCCTCCCTCATCCCTTCCTGGCCCTGATTGTGTACAGATGGGATCCCTTGACCTGGACTGTGACTTTTCTCAATCCCGGACCCCTTAGGGGTGTTGGAGAGCTGGTTTTGGCCTCATCCTGCAGGTCAGACCGAGAGATCCCACTGGTGCACAAATTTGAGCATTGGACTTCTAGCATAATATAATGGTTAAATGTACTATATGATATAAATACACTGTGTGCTTTAAAAAAAAATAATATATATATATATATATATATATATATATATATATGAATGAAAAAAAATCAACAAAATATAAATGGTGGATTGTGAGGTTATTGAAGAACATTTTTAAAATTTTTTGTATTTTTAAACTTTTTCATAAAAAGAGATTGCTTATTAAGATAAATTACTCTTTTTCAGGATGATGCTTCTTGAAAATTGTTTAGTTGAAAAATGGAGAGACCAGTTTAGTAAAAGATCCATAGTAAGTATAATTAACAATATTAGGAATATGAATTTAAGTGTATGTAAAGGAAATCTGTAGAATTTAGGGGTTCTTCCCATTCTTTTGGATAGGTATTTATATTCTCACTTGGAATTTTTATCATAAATCTCTCTTCAACTTCAAAGAATTTGGTTGCATCCAATACTGACCTACTGGTTATTTTCAAATTAAATGAATTTTTTGGTTTCTTTATTGTAGTACATGTAATTGCTTTAGCAAACAGTCAGATACTTGAGCATAATTTATATCCAAAGAGATTAAAGCAGACATATACATGTAGAGGTGTGATATGATGAATTCTAAAACTCATCCCATCACAATACAAAGCATAATATTTTTCCCTGTGCTTAATTATTTTTTATTTTGTACTATTTGTGATTTTAGTGGTAATGCCATAGAAATATTGGTAATTCAATTAGAAGAGGTAATTTTTTGCCCAGACATGTGAAGTCATACTAGAACTAAATAAATAAGGTCTTTGAGCCTGGCTAGTGTGGCTCAAGGGTTAATTGTTGACCTCTGAACCAGGAGGTCACAGTTCAATTCCTAATCAGGGCACTTGCCTGGGTTGTGGGTTTGATCCCTTTAGGGGTGGTGCAGGAGGCAGCAGATCAATTATTCTCTTTCATCATTGATGTTTCTATCTCTCTCTTTTCCTATCTGAAATCAATAAAAATATATTTTAAAAAAGAAATAAGGTCTTTGGTTTGAAATTTTTAAACTATATGTTCTCCTGAAATATGTGTAGATGTATTCAAGGAAATTTGTTTTAAGGTTCACAAAGGTATTGCAACTGCTTATGATTTCCTTGTTTCCATTAATAAAACACTTGATTAAGGGGAGAGTGATATTAATACTAACTTATGTAACACAGCCTCTTCTACTCAGTGCATTTCTGACTAAAAGAACCAAACACTACTGTTATATATGAGCTCAGATCTCATTAATTGCTCAGGAGTAAGCCTGAGTGTTACTGGACAGAAAATTATGGAAGAATTAGTTATCTGGTTTCCAAGGGAACAGTAGATTACCACCAATGTAGAAGGTAAGTCCACCATGAGGACCTGAAGGAGAAAAAAAGCTTTCAAGAATCAGCTGTTTGGACCATTTACTTTTGTAACAAACACTAGAGGCCAGGTGCACGAAATTTGTGCATGGGGGTGGAGGGTTGGAGGGGGGAATGTGTCCCTCAGCCCAATCTGCACCCTCTCTAATCTGGGATCCCTCAAGAGATGTCTGACTGTCCATTGAGGCCCGATCCCACCTAAATGGGCAGTCAGACATCTCTCTCACAATCCAGAACTGCTGGCTCCCAACTGCTTGCCTGCCTGCCTTCCTGATTGCCTCTAACTGCTTCTGCCTGCCAGCCTGATCACCTCCTAACCACTCCCCTGCAAGCCTGATTGATGCTTAACTGCTCCCCTGCCAGCTTGATTGCCCCTAACTGCCCTCTTCTGTAGGCCCGGTCACCCCTAGCTACTTTTCTGCAGGTCTGGGTCTCCCCCAACTGCCATTCCCTGGAGGCCTGGTCGCCCCTAACTTCCCTCCCTTGCAGACCTGTTCCCTCCCAACTGCTATCCCCTGCTGGTCATCTTGTGGCGGCCATCTTGTGTCTACATGGGGCAGCCATCTTTGACCACATGGGGACAGCCATCTTGCTTGTTGGGGTGATGATCAATTTGTATATTACTCTTTTATTAGATAGGATTACAATACACTTCTGTAAGAATTTGAAAATACCAACATATAATAGCAACATACAGTAAGAGTGTACTATTTTAGAACACCTTAGGAGGGTGTTCACTTCATTGCAATTCTTATGCTTAGGAGAATGCCTGCCCTATGGTGGTGCTCAAACTCTTGGCTGATTGAAATATATTCTAACAAAGTTGCAACATGTGTGTTAAAATAGAAAGCAATGTCTATTTAAGCGGCCTCATTTTTTCATTATTTTTCTTTATGCCACTGTTGAAATAAATAGTATTTATTTATATTAAAAATAGTAAGTCCTTTTCTATCAAGGAAACTTGACGGTTCAGAATGACACATTTCCCCTTTATCTCTGGATAGCTCACACTGAGGGGGATTGCTAGATGTAGGTGGTGCTTCTGTATTCTATTGGATAGAAGAGAATTAAATGAACCTATAAGTGAACCCATAACCCCTGATTGCTGGTTAGGCTGGATACATTTCTGCTCTTAGCCAGGGCTGCCATTTTGAGAAAGCTTGGCTGTGCAGGAATGTTGCCTTAGAGGGTCTTGGGCTCTGGAGAGAGTCTAGTGAACTTGAATCCTAGCTCTGACATTTATCAACTGTGCGGCCTTCTGCAAATAACCTGGGTGTGTGGAATCCTGGTCATGACAATGGTGCCCACCTAGAAGGGCTGTTGAAATGAATGCATGTCCAAACTTTATCACAAGTGTCTGGTACACGATAAGCGCTCAACAATGAGGGTAGCTATTATAACGATTGTCGTGATTAGTATGTAACAGTGGGAGGGAGCGAGGGAGGGAAGAAGGACATGTCATTAGTTCTGATATTAGTGGAGCAGCATAAAGAGGTGAGATGTACTTGACGGCCATGTTTACCAATTACCTCCCAGCAGTGGGAAGAGAGGCTGCAGGAACAGCAGAGATCAATCCAGGACAAAAAGCGAACAGCCGGGCGCACCAGTCGCAGTCATCCTCCGAAGCCAAAGGGAAAGCCACCTGCTCCCAGGCCAGCCAGCCCCAGGAAGAACATTAAAGCGAGGAGCGCTCCAAGGAGAACAAACTCGAAACGAGTGTGAGCTAACTGCTTTCCCAAACGGAGACTTCCTCTCAGGATGAGGCCCGGCATCGCCCAGACAGCCCGTGGAAGGCCACACACCCCTCGTCTCAACAGCGAAGGTACTCTTCCTAGACACCTCTTGCAGCATTCTTCTTCATGATATGTTTCAGTTTTTCTTTTTACACCATTGCAAGCGTGGTGGTAGGTGTGCCCTATGGTATGGAAGGTCTATGAAAGCTGCTCACAAAGAAAGTGTGTCATGTTCAGAACAGCCTGTGTGCATATTCTATGAGAGGTCCAGGTAGGGAAATATGCTTTTGTTCTTTCCATGTGACCTACTAGGTGCATTGTAAAATAAATGCCATCTTGAAAAAAAAGAAAAAAAAAAAGGCATCTAATTTTTTTTTTACAGTATGTTTTATTTCATTTTGACTTCTGTTGTAAGAATCTTAGCAATTTTTTTTTAAAAAAATGTGATTGAAAATAAAAGAGGAATGAATGTTTAAAAGATCTTTATTGTTTGTGGAAGAATTTTTGTAATAAAGGGGAATTTTAAACAATCTAGAAAAGTAGGATGTGGGAAAATGTAATGAGTATTTTTGTATGTGTGGTGGTGTTTCTTGGGTTTGTTTTGTTTTGTTTTGTTTTGTTTTGTTTTGTTTTGTTTTTTACAAAGAAGGCTTTCTCCTCTGTGGTTAGCTATAAACTCTAGAAAATAAAATAACAACGATGATGAGTAAATAAAAAGGAAAAGCGGGCAAACAATGTCTAGGTCCTTGTTCTCTGGTTACCATGCCATGGTGGGGGGGCAGGTTTTGGTTTTACATTCATGCTTCTCATCAGTACTTTAAGTAGCACCAGAAACAGAGTTTCTTTCTGAGGTACCAGCTAGCCAACCCCAAATATTTTACCTGTGGGTGTGGTACTTGTCTCCCTTCCCAGGACATCCTAGGCTTCCTGAGGCCAAGTCTCTTGCAGGTGTTTACAAGGGCCTTGGACCTGAGGTGGGAGGGTTAGGATCCAAAGCCTTGGGTTGCCAGCCTGCCAAGAGACTGCTGCCATACACCAATTCCACATCTGGAAAAGGCCACTTGTCCATCCACTCCTCAGGAACGTAAAAGAACAACCTGATACAGCTTAAGAGTTCAATCTCCTCTAAAGAATGTGCCGTGGTCCCCGGTTTTCAGAAAAGGGATAAGGTGCAGGTTGCAGTCACACAATACAATTAAAGAAATTGTTTTGTTTCATACTTGAAGCCATGGGGACACAGGAGTGAGGTGTGTGGATAAGCCAGGGGAGAGTGGAAGGATAGGACAGGCACTCATCTCCTCCTGAGCACCTGACTGTGCCTGCACTGCTGCCCCAGGGCAATGGAATTAAAGGAATCCAATAGATGGGCCCACAAAAGGGTAATGTTTCTGCTGCATAGCAGCCAAATCTCACTGGCTCTTAGGGAAGCCAGGTTGGTGTTTAGCATAGCATCCAAACTGAAGAAACCTAGGAAAAGCCATTAGAAGGCATGGTTAGCCTAGTTCATCTTCTTAGCATAGTAGGAATTCTTTGGGGAAGGGGACTTGGAAATGAAACTCCATGGGAAAAAAAGGAGATAAGATGCTTATTTATGTAAGACTTTTTTTTCTTTTTTTTAAGTCCGAAAGAAAATAAAAAGAGTTTGGAGATGAGCTGACAAATTTAAATACTGCTTACTTTGAATATTTAAATAATATATTAATTATTACACAAAAATTTAATCAGGCACATTTATCAGTATGATTAATCAATAAAAAGTTAACAAGGCCTCCATTTGTTATTTATTTTGAAAAAGTTGAAAATGAACATTAGCTCACAATATAACAAATATGGAATTGGCCTTTGTGTGAGAGTCAAAAGTTTATTTTTCTCACCTAGATATTTCTCCATCTAAACACGTGAGAGGAGGTAAATATACGGTAAATGCATGGTGGGAAAAGCTGAGGTTCTATCTCTGAAGTGGAAATTATGAGAGTTGGGTTACTTTAATTTTAAAAATAATGTATTTTACTATAGGTTTATCAACACATTTTGTAATTGAAGACAACTGGAGGCACTTATTTTCTAAGATAATTTTGTTGGTCTTTCAATAATATGGTAAAAATGTATTTTCTATAAAGCATTCAATAAATACATAAAATAAAAGTAATTGAATTAAAATCCTACAATCCCATTCACCACTATTCAGAGGTATTCACTATTGGTATTTTGGTATATAACTTTCCAGGTGTTTCCTATGTATTTATATTATGATTTGAAAAAAAAACTATGCGCCTATAATGCATACTGTTTCATAACCTGCCTTCTTCACTCATAGTTCTTACGACAATAAGGTTGATGCCACCTCCTTTATTATGACTGTGGTGTATTCCATGGTATGAATTACTCAACAAGTCCTTATGTTATTGGGGATTTAGCTAGTTTCTTAATAGAATACACTGAATAGACAAATTAACACCTTGATAGCTACCGTGTTTCCCTGAAAATAAGACATCCTCCGAAAATAAGACCTACTTACAGGTTTCCTTCTGAGTGAAATATAAGGCATCCCCCGAAAATAAGGCCCCCTAGGCTAAACATGAGAGATTTGGTCCACTGATTCTGAAAGAAATGGAGTCACAAGAAATTCATCAGGAAATTCAGGAATTGGATTGTTATGATGATGTTTCAGAAGATGATGACATGATTGTCATTGAATAAATGAGTAAATTCTCAATACTGTAGAATTCACAATTTGTCTGGCTTGTGTTGACAACTACCGTACTACCATACCATATACAGGTAATAAATTTCCTTTATTTTCATTTAACAATAAATGTGTACCGTATTCTTCTTCATGGAAAAATAAGACATCCCCTGAAAATAAGACCTAGTGCATCTTTGGGAGCAAAAATTAATATAAGACACTGTCTTATTTTTGAAGAAACAGGGTAGTATCTGGGCCCATCCTTAATTAGTTTTTTGAGATGTTCATTTAAGTAGCATTGCTAGGCTGAGGCATATGAACACAAGGAAAGTTCCGGATCATATTATTAATTTTCCTCCAGCATGCTTGGACCATAGATGTATCAAAGTGTTGACTTTCCAACTCCTCACTAAGATTGTTTCCTCCTTCCCATAGTTTTTATAAATTTAGCTGGGAACTGGATGTCATCAATGGTGAAGCTCCTCTCTTTATCTGTGAGCCACTCCCAACCTCCAGCAGCTGGGAAATGAATGACTGACCACCTTGAAGTGGGTATAGTAGATACATAGATGACAGATGATAGGTAGGTAGGTAGGTAGGTAGGTAAGTAGAGATAGAGTTTTCAACTTCTAAAGAAAATCTATGCAGCTATCTCAATTTTTTAAATGAATCAAATTTAATATAATTTATCAGCTGGAGAAACCAAATAGTTAGGATTTAACAGAAATGCCAATAGCTTTTTTTCTCTCTTTCCAGCTTTATTATAAGATATATGAGAACTTAAATAAATAACCTTAGTTTCTTATTTTCTAGTTCTAAACCAATGCAGTCTGACCACCCTTTTGGTTTCTGGCCATGGATGCTTAGAAGATTGTCTACTGCAAACTTAGTGTAAAATTCTTTGGCCATCAATACACTGTTTGAATTTCTACTACCAAGGGTACTCCTGCTTGGTGGAACCAGTTCCTGAGTAAAAAAAATAAATAAAAATTTACCACAAGTTTCTATCTGCTGTTATCACCAATTCAAAAAAGCAAAAATGGTTATTTGGAAGCATGGGATGAAAAAGTCGAATGGGATGTTACAGGCCATCATCTAGCTTGCTGGTGATGTCAGGGCTTGATTGATGTCACACAGGTAGCTAGAGAAAGATCTTGGGCCCCGGAGTTACTCAACTTTACTTTAGCTAACCAAAGTGTAGTTGTTTTGCAGTAACATAAAACTGTGCACTAAAAGAATACTCATTTTTCACAGAAGAAACAAGAGAACAAATTTCTGATTCAGATGATAACATGTGCTATTACTAACCATATTTCTTAACAGAAAATACTTTTTGAAAAAAAGCATTTTATAATGCGAGATATGTTATACTGACAAACATGCCAACCAAAAATTTTAGTTTACTGTTACCTTTGTGACTTAACTAATAAGTAAGCAATATTATATCCTCAGTACCTGGAGAAGGTATCTATGTTAACATCAGTACCCACCCTCTCCCCCAGGGAATTCTTGACGCTCAGATGGCAAAGAAATATCCCCCTTTTATTATTCAAACAAAAGAGATAAACAAAAACAAAAGCACCCCAAATATCAAAAGAGCTACCCCAAATGTCAAATTAGCATTTTATAGGAATCTTTTCATGTGTTCTCCCTGTTTGCATATATGAATTTAATAATGGCATGTAATATTTTTTCCCTGTAAGAAATGCAATGAAATCTTCATTTTTCACAGCTGCATAGCATAAATGTCTGAGAGTTTGTTTTGCCAATAACTTGTGAGGATGGACTTTTAAATGTGGTAACCAGGCATGCAAAGGTAGGACAAAGTTGTGTGACAATATTTTTTTCTACTATTATTGAATTCTCAGGACCAGAAAAAAAAATGGGGCATGGATAGGTTTTTTAGTATTTTTTCTAATAAATATGTTGCTTTTATAATTCGAAGATACTACAAAAATGAGATAAATTTAAGCTACACAGACATGCAAACATGAAAACTGTTTCATTGATTATGTTTTAATCTATGTATCAGAGAAGCAGACACCAAAAGGGAATTAAACTACATGTAAAAGGATTCTATTAGAGAAAACACCTGAGAGAGAATAGGCAGGAGCTGAGTTGGAAAGAGGAAAGGAAGCATTTCAGATTGCCTCGATATTGAAGATGGTTTGGCAAGTCTATTGGGAACATCAGGGAGTTCTTAATCTCCTATGATAGCTCTGCCTTTGTATCCTACTTCTCTGTCATTGACTGGGACAGGGACAGCCTGGTCTTGATGCAAAGGTAGCAATAGATTTCAGACT